GCATCTTCAAGATGGCGTCAACTTTGGCTTGATCTATCTCAATCCCTCGATGTCGAACAATGAAGCCAAGGAATTTTCCAGAAGTAACTCCAAATGCACATTTCAACGGGTTCATTCTGAGTTGATATCTCCGGAGTTGTTCGAACACCATTCTTAAGTCTTGTAAGTGGTCTCCTCTCTTTCTTGATTTCACCACTAAATCATCCACATAGCATTCCACATTCTTGTGGAGGATGTCGTCAAAGATATTCTGCATTGCCCTTTGATATGTGGCGCCAACATTCTTCAAGCCAAAAGGCATTACTTTGTAGCAATAAATGCCTTTAGGAGTGCGAAACGCAGTAAGCTCTTCATCTTCTGGTGCCATACGTATTTGATTGTAGCCAGATGATCCATCCATGAAAGACATCGTCTCATATCCGGTGGTGGCATCAATCATAAGCTCTGGAATGGGGAGCGAAAATTCGTCCTTAGGGCATGCATTATTGAGGTCTCTAAAATCGACACAAACTCGAATTTGGCCATTCTTCTTCTTCACAGGAACAATGCTTGAAATCCATGAAGGATATTTAACCTCCCGAATGAAACCAGCTTCGATGAGTTTATTGACCTCGGCTTCGATTGATGGGATCAATTCTGGCCTGAAGCGTCTTTGGGCTTGCTTAACAGGACGAGCTCCTTTCTTGACTGCGAGATGATGAACTGCTACCTTAGGATCTAAACCAGGCATCTCTTTGTAGCTCCAAGCAAAGACATCTCTATATTCTTTGAGTAGCTCCACATAAGTGTTTTCTTCATCTGTGGTTAATTGGGCACTTACATAGGTGGGCTTGGAGTCTTCTGCAGTGCCAAGGTTGACTTCTTTCAATGCATCAACAGTCATTTTAATTCCTTCTTCTAGTTCCGCAGGAGCATCCTCGACATCTTCGTCTTTTTGAGGATCACCATCATTAAAAGATATATGGCCACACCAAGAGGCATTTCCCAAATATTCGTCAAATTTCCTTAGGGATGAAGTGTATTGCTCCTCATTCGCAGTAATGTGATATTAAGATCCTACACTTTCTTCATCTTCGTCATGCTCTCTAGTGTGGACCACTGTGCGAGTCTTCACTTTGAGTACCTCTCCGCATGAAATCAAAAGTTCTGATTGTCGCCTCATTCTGGAAGGGACCAGGCTTTGACACTCTTTGGAGATACTTTAGACTCTAGATGGCAAAGGTCTTCTTATTTTTTCATGATTTCTTTGGGACTTGTTCTTCTTCCTTTTCAATGGCCCCAGCCTCTCAAATACAGAAGTTCTTGTAGTTGGTTCTCCAAGTCGATCAAAGACAGAAGTCCTTTTATTAGGATAAGCAGGTTCATCTTCCGTCGTGATATAGTTAATATTTGCTCTTCTAATGGATATGCGAACTGGTGGGAGTTATTTGTAACCTAGACCCTCGCGTGATTGCTTCACCGCACGCTCATTATCCTTCATCGTGTTTGCTTTCCTAGTAGCTTCAGGTGGGAGCTTCCCTAACTTAGATGGTTCATTGGGATCATATCCAGCCTTTGCGAACAACCTGTAAGCATTCAGATCAAAACCTTCATTTGTGCGTTTCGTAGGGAGTGCCTTATTTTGAGGCATGTTAGGGGCCACAAAATTTTCCAGTAGCTTTGAAGATAACTTTATGGTATCAATCTGCTTGATAGGAAGGGTTAATTCTCTTAGTGCACCTTTTTGGAGGCTTGATGATTCTCCTTCATCTTTCTTCACTTTTGGGACGTAACGAAATAAATGAGCTATTTTCATGCCTTTGGCCTTCGTGATGTCATCAACTTTTACTCCCTTCATGATGTGGTTCTTCAAGTAGAACTTTGTATCAGCGAAGTATGCCTCGGCTTCATAGAACGGCTTGTCATCAGCAACTATCTTATTTTCGACTCCATCTTTATTATATTTCAAACATTGGTAGTAAGTTGATGGGACAACTTTGTTCTTGTGTATCCACGGCCTGCCAAGCAACAAATTGTATGAAGTCTTTATATCGATCACATGCATCCATGCAGTTGATTGCATATCTCCCATGGCGATTTCCAGCTTGATAGCTCCTACGGCCCTTTGTCCTCTTTGATTGAATCCTTGAATCATCAGTCGGCTTTCAGAAAGTTCTTCAGTTGAGATGCCGAGTTCTTTCATTATGCGAATGGGAAGAATGTTAACTACAGATCCGTCATCTATCAAGATTCTGTTTATCCTCCTCTAGAGCACATAACCCACCATAAACAAAGGGCGATTGTGTGGTGTCTCACTAAGTAGGAGATCGTCTTTAGTGAAGGTGATTTTTGTATTACAGACATCGGCTTCTTGGAAGGAGGACTCAACAAGACTATTAGACAATGATGATAAGAGTGTTGACTTGACTTCATTCTTTTCCTCTTCTTCTTTATCAGCATTACAGCACAAGGCCTCGTCATTATCGTCAGAAATCCTCGTGCGAAACCAACTCGGCAAAAATTCTCCCAAAGTCACCGGGTGGCGTGGCTTTTGGTGATGGTGTGTCTCTATCTCCTCCTTATTTAGGTTCTTAATAATTTGTAGCTTCTTTAGTCTTCTCACCATCTTATTCCTCGTAGGTTGCTTCGTTGATCCTTTTTGTAGACTCAATTTACGGCGTCTTCGACGAGTCACCAGGGTCCATCCTTCTTCATCAGGTTGGTCAACTCGGACTTTGTCATCCTCCAACAATTCTTCATCTTCATTCCCTTCACAGGTGCATATCTCAATCGGATCTAATGAGCCAAAGGTAATGGACACATGGTTTGTGCTTGCTTTTTCGACTTCGAGTTCGATCTTCTTTTGACGAGCCAAATCCATAACTTTGTCCTTGAAAACAAAGCACTTCTCAAGAGGGTGACCTACAAGCCGATGGTATTTGTAGTAATTCGGGTCATTGCTTTTTCCAGCTTCATCTGGTTGCTTCATCTCTGTCAGCTCAATAAGCTTTAACTCGAGGAGTTCTTCAAATATTGCAGGCACATCGGAGTCTAGAAATGGGTACTCCTTTTCTTGCATCTCTTTGAGAGTCAACTTCCGATTTGCATTGTCTTGAGAGGAAGTTGTTTTTATACTCTATTTCTTGCTCGCCTTGGTAGTAAACTTCAAAGGAGAGGCATTGACGTTCATGGATTCTTTGCTTTCATTTTTGGGTACGAACTTGCTCCATTTATTGACTTCTTGCTTATCTCTTCCGTTACGAGGTTCGTAGATGGGCAGCCCTTTGTTTCCCGCAGAAGCCATGCTCAACTCCATATCATGAGCACGGGTGGCAAGTTCTTCAAATGTCCTGGGCTTAATTCCTTGCAAGATGTAACGAAGTCCCCAATGCATGGATGCACATCTCTATGCCAGAAGCTTCGCTTAACCTATCTTTGCAGTTAAGGGTTGCATTCCTCCATCGATTGATAAAGTCAATAACTGGTTCATCTTTTCGTTGGCAAGTGTTTGTAAGTTCCACCATGCTCACAGTATGCCTTGTGCTATAAAAGCGATTAAGAAACTCTTACTCCAATTGGTCCCAACTATCAATGGATCCAGCCTCGAGATTGGTGTACCAATCAAAAGCATTCCCCTTAGTAAGCGGACGAACTGCTTGACAAGGTAATCTCCATAAGTCCCTGCATTGTTGCATGTCTCAACAAAGTGCGCAACATGTTGCTTTGGATTTCCCTTGCCGTCGAACTATTGAAATTTGGGAGGTTGATAGCCATCAGGCATCTTTAGGCTATCGATTCTTGCAGTATACGGTATTGCGTACGTGAGAGAAGACTTTGAAGCGACCTAATACTTATCCTTGATAGTTCCCATAATGAATTCCTTCAATTGTTCTATGGGAATTGATCCTTCAGAGGAGACATGAAGTTCTTTGGCGGATGACCCTTGTTTTGTTGGAGGATCAGCCTTCTCGCGGACTTCAGGAAGCTTTCCAGGTGCATGACTTGATTCTCCATCCATCATGCTTTCAACTATGCCTGTCAATTTTGCGATATGGACATCTTGATCTTGAGCATACTTTGTTAACCCATCAATCGCCTTTGTCAGGTTTGAAAGTTGCTCCTCCATTGTCGAAGTGTTAGTCATCATTGCCTCCATGATTATTGCAAATGATGAAGAATAACCGAGACCTTCCCACGGATTGAACTCAGTTTGGAACATGTCATGTGGTGAGATTGGCATAGAGACAACACATAAGACTTTATCATCAGGTTGGGTAAGTTGACCCTTGGTATTGTATAAAGTAAGTTGAGCAGGAGCTTTCTCCACAACTTCTGCAATATTATCCCATCTCTCTGACTTGCTAGCAGAGGACCTTTCTTCTTCGAATGATGAAGATCTCAAACAATGCATTGGTGCAGACGACACTTAGAGTGCTTATTGCCCCAAGACGCTCGCCTTGCTCCGGGTGATTGGCCCAAGACTCCCTATAGTAACGTTCAGGATACTTTCAACGTCAGAAGAAAACTTGGAGTCAGCAACTTCGATCTTCTTTGAAGCCATCTTAGTGATCTTGAATGTTGAGAAGAGATGAGAGGTAGAGATTGTCCCACTGGGCGTGCCAAAATTTGTAACGACTAAATTTCGCTCCTGAAAAATAATAATCAAGACAAGAAATATAGCGACAAATATTATATTCAATTTCAAGTGATGGGGTTACAATCTTTAAAATATCTCTAAATCTAAAGAGATATAGTCCTCTGATTCTTCTCCTCATGGATGGTAGTTCAAGAGCTTGAAAGCTTGATTTTAAACTTGACGGATTTCAGATTTGTAGTACGTCACGAACAATTTGGAGCTCGTCACGAACCAGGATTTGATGGCTATGGGTACATATTTAGAAATCTAATAAAAATCACAGCTTTATTAATTGAAATTATTTTCTCTTGCATTGTGTGATGTAATCAAGTCGTCGTTGGCTAGATTGAGTCGAGCGGAGGCGAATTTGTAAAGGTAAAAGGCTAAATTGGGTGTTGAGTTAGCCGAATTGAGGTAAGTGTTTTACCTAACTTTGTTGAGGGAATTTTTTCTCCTATTTGTCATTGTTTGCTACATCCGAGGGTGATACATATATGAGGTGATGAACGTATATGTATGTGCTAGGGTAATCATGCTCGGGGTGTGGATTATGTTACAATTGTATTTGTAAAATTATGTGACCTTCCTGCTTCATGCCTTACTTGACTCTTAGATACTAAGAACATCGTATTAAATGTTAGAAATCAAGACTTGGCTTATTATAATTTAATCAAATTTGACGGAATTCTGAAAATACATTGATGTGTCTAATTCGGTCACATATATGTTTAATCATTAATACATTGCTACAACCGATCTTCTTGAGATACTAGATTTTATACTTGTGTTGTGGATCATTTGTAGGGTTCGTGGAAGTATTTGAATAATACGGTTCTTGAGGGTTTATTGAATCATTGTTGTCTTAGAAAGTTGTGATTGGGATTTATTTGGAATATCCGTTAAAACACTCTCCTTGATGTTATTTATGCTTCCTGCCTTGTTTATCATTGATATACATATGCTTGGTAAAGAAGAGTGTAAAGCACGAAGGGTGATGTCGTGCCATTGTATATACATTATCATGTGAGGGAGAGTGTAAAGCACGAAGGGCGATGCCATGCCATATTATTGAGAGTAAAAGTACGTAGGGTGATGTCGTGCCACATTATTGAGAGTAAAAGCACGAAGGGTGATGTCGTGCCATGTCATTTGAGAGTTAAAGCACGAAGGGTGATGTCGTGCCATGTCATTTGAGAGTTAAAGCACGAAGGGTGATGCCATGTCATTTCATTTATATTATTATGCTTTTATTAACGTGAGATCATAGCACGATGGGTGTTTCCGTACAGGTAAGGACTAGGGACATGCATTATGATGTGATATATGTTCCCCGTGTATACGTTTATGCCTTTACCTTAAGTTGTTATTGTCGTACTTATAGATCTTGTGTGACTTGTTGTTATTGTCCTGTACTTGATCTCTATTTCAATTTTTGTTGTGTTGCCCATGTCCTCTACTTGTTTAACTTGCAAATACCATGTCTACTTCTTGCTGCTATAATCATGCCTATGCTGTATGTATTCGATTACACTTTAGTACAAGCCCTTTTTCTCAGTACATTCATACCTCTACTTGTTAACTTGTAAAGATTATGTGTTTCATTCTTATTTGCTATACCTATATTTAGGCCTTCATCATGCTAGTTAGTTGAAGTTGATATCCTTATTTCCAATTGCTTTCATCACTCACATGCGTTCCGCCTAGTCTTTTTACTGTTGCCCATATAGTTATCCTCGTTCATTATTGTTACTTGCATATTTCCTACCTTGTGATTTTTGTTATGGTACTTTTGTCATCTGGTTGGTTCTGTTATACGTATATTGGGTGAGGATGAGATAAAAGCACGAAGGGTATTGTCGTGTAATTGACTTGATATATGAGTGCATTTCTTATGCTATGAGAGTTATGAAGTGACTTTTGTGATTTATCGGCTTCATTCTAAGGATTGCTCGTGGTATTTGAAGATGCCAAATTGTGATCTTCGTTAACACTCGGTTATTGTTTTGCATATCCATTTCATGTATTCTTCTCTATTATATCGTGGTATAGTTCTATTACTGATTTACGGTGCAAGTTTTATCAGAAAGTATCTTTTAACTAAAAAGCCTCGTCACTACTTCGACGAGGTTAGACAAGATACTTACCAGTACATGGGGTCGGTTGTACCGATACTACACTTATGTACATTGCGTACAGATTTTTAGAGCGGAGCTGCTGGTGTTGTCGGGTGTTGACTCTGAAGATGTTCGTGCATTCCGGATATAACTGCCGCTTGTCCTTGGTAGCTTAGGTTTTTCTAATTTATTATGTAAATTTCAATCAGACCGTGTAATTTTTATACCAGATTTGTGAATTCCAATTCTTAAAAGCTCATGAGTCGTACTACCAGTTATTGGGTAAATTTATAAATGTTCAGATAATTCTTTACTATTTTTCTATAATTTCTTTTGGATTATATTTTCTGTTAGTTGGCTTACCTAGAAGATCGAGTTAGGCGCTATCACGACTAGTGGTTTTTGGGTCATGACATATTAACAGCAGCCAAGGCAATGACTGCCCTTACTGTA